GAGGCCAGCCTGGTCTACAGAGTGCGTTCCAGGAAAGGCGCAAAGCTACACAGAGAAACCCTGTCTTGAGAGGAAAAAAAAAAAAAAGTACAACAAAACTGGTGATGGTTCTGACTCCTGGGAGGGGCTGAGCCAGGGCTGGCTGGGCAGCGGGATGGGAAGGGCACATGACCTTCTTGCATCCTCTGTGTATCATGCAATGAATGGCTTCAGGACTGCCCTCTGAGGTCCCTCCCACTGTCCATCCTGCTGGACTCCAGAGCATGACCTTTTCTTCTTTTCCTTTTCTTTCTTCAGAATCCCAATTAATTGTCCCTAGGACGCTATTACCCACAAGGGACTTCAGGGGACACCATGACTCCAGTGTTCCTCACAGCCTCCTGTTTACAAGAGGCACCATACAGAATCTGAACTGGCCAGGACCCTCCTTCACTGTCCTGTTTGAAAACAGGTTCAGGCGGCTGCAAGACCACCAGCAACTCTGACCAAGAGGAGACTGGAGCATTTTCCCAGCCATCCAGCTCCAGCAATCCATCTAGAACTTTCTCTAGGCCACTTGGCTCATGGGATCTGGATGTCCCCTAGGACTCTCCCCTCCTTACCCCCCCCCCCCCGTGTCACTCAACTGGATCCCAGCCACAGCAAGAGCTTGGGAGAGGAACAGCTAAGAGCTTCCCAGAGCCTAGGGGAGCCAGGCAATGGGGGTGGGGTGGGGAGGGTTGACCAGCAGGGTGGGCAAGTGTCCTGGCGCACAGCCGGACACAGAGCGAGCAACGAGCATTTCAGAGAGGAGCCTTCCTGGCCTGGTATCTCTCTCCCAGACTTGCCAGCAGGGTGGCCCTGCCGGTCGCCTGAGTGACCATCTGTTTCTGACATTCAAAGCAAAGGGCAGAAATGGCTCCAGGAAGGATCGAATGAGTTGCCTCTTTGGAAGCTAAACAGGGCCTCTTACTCTCAAATTGTTGCATAAGGAGACCAGCAGTGACAGCGGGTGGAGGGGTGGGGGTGGGAGCAATGGGGAGGTGGGGGTGGGGAGGGGGGGCAGTTTTGCAGTGTCAGCTCAGGTACTGCTCTTCAAACTCCCTGCAGTCTCCTTAGTGCCCAGGTCATGTACAAGAGCACCCAAGTCAGGAATTTGTGCTGTGGAAGCCATTGACTGAAATTAGGGGAACTTCTGGAGCTAAACCTCAGGCTGGATCTGGGACAGGGCCGTTGGGACTTCTGCCCTCTTCTGCTGAAGGACCACACATGAGCGAGCATGAATGAGGCATGAGCACGGCTGCTGTGCCTTGGCCCTGGGTCACACAGGAGTCTGTTCCCGGATGCTCTCTCTCTGCATACAAGGGTCCCCTGGCCCTGCCTTCACGGGTATAGGGACCATTCTTTGTACTGCTGATTCCTGCTTCTGCTGTTAGAGGGCCTCGGGGCGTTCTTCCTCCCAACCCATCATCTCTCCTCAGACTGCTTGTTCCATCTGCTCTAACCCTAAACAGACCGTGGAGTCTTGGGCTGAGGAGCAGCAAAGATTGCCGAGGAGCCTGGTAGACTCACCCAGTACCCCTCCCAGCCTCAGCCCAGGCCAGAGCTGAACCTATGGTCCTGAGGATCCTGACTCTTACCCATCACTGGGGTGCTGGTCCAGCTGGCCAAACTGCCAGTGGACAGGGAAGATGTACATGTTGTAATTCTTCTCGAAGTCTCGGGCCAGCAGCTCCACAGGGTGATCTCCAGCCTCCAGACGCTTCTCATTCTCATGGATCTTCTTCACCTGTAGGTATGGAATCATCAGGTGACCAAGGGTCCAGGCCCGCTTCCATGGGTGACAAGAGGCCAGCCCAGGCCAGAGCCCACAGTGAGAGGAAGAGAGAGATGCTGGCGGGAGCCAGCAGCTTGTCCATAGATGGGGAGGCCATAGTACCACCTGCCTCAAGCCACCAATGCCTAAGGAGGCTTAAGAAGAGGCTGAGAAGTCAACATTCAGTCTCTGCCATGGGGCTAAATATGCCCGCTGAAGGAGAAGGCCTGTTGACTCAGATGCGGAAGGAATAAATAGGGTTACACTTTGGGTCTGTCCGCTACAGACCTTCTCAGAAAGGCAGCTGGAAGTTTGTGTCCTGGAATCCAGGGTGAAGGCACCCTGCAAAGTGAGGCATGGGTCACCTCGGGGCCTGGTTCTAGGAACTGGCCCTTAATCTCCATCAGCAAGGTCCAGGAAAGTCAATAGCAGGCACACTGGTCCACGCTGGGAGGAGACCACTTACCCGCAGCTTCTGCTTCTCAGTGAGGAGGTTGTTGCCCTCATCTCTCTCGTACAAAGTGACCAGGACATTCTTGAGCCAGTCACGCATGCGCAGAGGGAACTCGGTCAGCTCGGAATCCAGGCAGGGAGGGATGACTAGGGCACAGACGACAAGATTAGTCAACCTGGACCTGCCAGAGGGCAGACACACTCCCTGGCCACTCTCTCCTTCTTGTCCCCACTCCCCCCAGGCACTTCACTGGGCAGCCCCGGCCATGGTGCCTCTGGCCCTCTGAGCCAGACCCTTCACAACTCGGTAAGTAAAGAAGGCTGCATGGCGAAGCTCAAGGGTCTGGCTGCTTCCCAGCTTGCACCTAACCCAATGGGGCACACCGCCACCCCAGATGCTCCTGCATCTTCCTAGGTGATGGGCAGCCTGTGATCTCAGCAACAGGAAGCCGAACTCTGGAAGATATTTGAAGCAACCTCTATTCATAGGTCCAGCATAACGGCCCTGGGGAGAAGGCTCAAGAATGCACAACCCCCAGAACCTCTTTAGAGATCATCACCCCAGAATGTCACACCTGGAGAATTCGTTCAAGTTCTCCTGTCGCTGGACTTAGCAGTGGGAAAGAGAAGGCTCTTGCTTGCAGCCAGATTATCAGAACATGAGCCTGCATCCAGTTAGGATGGATACCTGGGGACCTGGTGTGTGCTCTTCCACTGCTTTGAATCCAAAGAATGTCCCCCTTTGAGGCTAGGACCACTGCCCTCTGGGAGTGGAAAGCCCCACATGGAGCTGGCCTGGGGAGGTGGGTGGCCTCAGAGGCGGCAGCAGCCACTTGCTAAGGGCTCCTTAGAGCATGCCTTGCCTCACAGCTCAGGCCTCTCCACCAATGTTCTCTACCCTGTCTTTCCTCAGGCTCTCTAATCTATGCCTTCCCTTTCACACCCCAGCCCAGTCATTAAGAGCTCAGGGCTAACTATTGGAACATTTGTTTCCTGACCTCACTTCCTACAGCTGAAAGCCTCAGGCAGGGGAGGGGCTTCCCTTTGTTTAGTTTGGTTCGGTTTGGCTTGCAGAGCTGGGGATGGGATCTTGTGCACAGCAGGCAATCATACTATCACATAGTTATAGTCCCAGCCCATCCGGAAGGATGCTCCCTATGTAGAACATGCTACAGATACACAGCTTAGGCTGTCTCACAGGCAGTGAGTATGGCTTGGGAAACCCCAGAGCCAGCAGAATTTGTTGCTTGGATCACTAACAATGGGCCAGTCAGAGCTCCTGACATCCCTCTTCAAAATCCCTAGGCTTCTAGAAAAGGAGGATGAGGAGTATGACGGAATAAGGAGCTAAGGGTCTGTGCCAATACAGAAGAGCAGAAGAAAAGGACAGGTATGCCCCTATTTTTAAATGCATTTATTTATTTATTTTAGTATAGATGTGTGCTCACAGTCATGTGTACATGTGTCCATGTATAGAGGCCTGAGGTCAGTCTCAGATATCACACCTCAGGGGACATCCTATTATTTTTTAAGACAAGCTTTCTCATTAGCCTGCTGCTCACTGTTTAAACTAAGAGGACTGGCCTGTGAGGCCCAGGGAACCTCCAGGCTCCACCTCCCCAGTACTGGGAGTCCAAGTGTGTGCTACCACACCTAGCCTTTTACATAGGTTCTGGGGGTGGAACTCAGTCCTTATGCTCATACAGCAAGCATTTTATCCTCTGAGCCATCTCTCCAGGCCCAGGCATGCTGCTATTTGAAAAGCATTCAAATTGAAAGATCTTTAAAATATTCCTCAGCCCAGGTCAAACATTGTTTTGGTTTTACTGTGTTGATGCAGGAAGGATTTGAGTTAGCTGCTGTGGGACGGTCTGTATGTCAAATTGCTCTGATTGGTCAATAAATAAAACACTGATTGGCCAGTGGCCAGGCAGGAAGTAGGTGGGACAAGG